TGGATGTGTTTGATTTCAGCGAGCGGCCCGCCGCGTGCCCGGGAGCTGGGCGAGCTCGTTATGTTCTGAAACGGCCCCACGCAGCAGTGCCCAGGCTGGGGGGGACATTGACCCTGCTCCCCTGGGCCCCAGACACTCTCTGGGGGTGGGAGCCACTTCTTGGCTAACACTTGCTTTGGGGGCCGGCACTGTTACTCAGCAGGGTAGACCAGTTGCCACCTGCGACATTAGCATCCCCTGTGAGCACTGGTTCAAGTCCTGGCTACTCTGCTGCCCATCCAGGTCCCTGCTGGGGCACTTGGGAAGGCAGAAGAAGATGGCCCAAGTCCTTGGGAGCGCTGGATGGAGTGCCAGGCTCCTGGCTTCAGCCTGGCCCAACCCCAGCCATTGTGGCCATTTGGGGAGTGAACCAGCAGATGGAAGACCTGTCTCTCTGTCTCTACCTATCTCTGTAACTCTGACTTTTAAATAAGTCTTAGGAAAACAAAAGCCCAGTAGCTTTTATCGCCATAGTAATCGCAGATGAAGCCCGACAGGGGGTCAGCGGTGGCTCTGTTTGTGACAGGTTGTTCCAGGGGCTCTGCGGTCAGGGAGGTGTCCGGCGTGGACGAGTTGCTAAGATCCGGCTCTCGTGGGCCATCACGGCTCATGTCACAGAGCTTTGGTTGCGATCCTGAAAGATGCCCAAACTGCGCATGCGCGGAGGGGCTGGGCGTTAGGGATGAGGGCGAGCAAGGCGTCCGTTTTGGAGTTTGAAGAACTTCGCATTCACTGCCTCCTTTGCTTCCCACAGCAGCGTTGCACATCGTTGCTACCCTGATGCGTCCAGCTCATGCATTGGTATGCACACTCAGAGGGGGTAAATGATTGGCGCGTTAAGGGGAGGGACAGACACCCGGGGCCACACGTTTTCCCAGACACGACCCCTGCGTTCTCCCGCCTGGGAGGTTTGGGTGGGAAAGGTGACCCGAGCCTTGTAAGGACTCCAGTCACGCTGCACCAGGCTCCACCAGGATTCATCGGCCATCTTAACTTGGCTACACCAGCAAAGACCCTGCTTCTAAATGGGGGTGCCAGCTGCCGCCACGGCACACTGTTAATCAAGAGGTTGGTGTTGCCACCAACGGTCCTGGCACCTGTCACACTGTCAAGCAGATCACAGCCGTGCCACTGCCCAGGCAGCCCAGCCCAGGGCGTGAACGGAAGCCTGTGCTGTGGGCACTGCCTCGCTGAGGACAGCGGGTGGGAGGGAGGGAGGGGGCTCCACCCAGGCGGTCACAGACCTGCACCTGCCTTTTCCTCGATGGTGAGTGCTTAGAACACGGGCTTTGGCTTTCTCTTAGCTCAGTCAGATGTTTCGGGAAGGATGAGCGCTGTTGTCCGTCCAGGGAAGCCAGGTTGGGTGAGGAGCAGGGGACAGGTGGTGAGAGGAGAGAGGAGGGGAAGCACATAGAAAGGCCTGGTCTCTGGAGCAGCCACGTCAGACATCGGGCAGGGGGCAGCGAGGAGGGGCCAGTGTCGTTGCCCTCCTGCCCCTCGTTGCGGGGAGCTCACCTCCGTGATTCACTCCTCCACAGTGCTGGGTTGTGTCAGAGCCCTGAGCAGCCACCAGGAAGACAGAGCCCTGCACCGCGCCCCATTCACACCCTACAGGAAACAGGAGGAAGAGCCAGGTCACCTGTGCCTGCAGGAGCAGCCAGCAGCTTCCCTGGTGGCTTCCCCTGGCCACTGTGCTGGGGCAAGTTCAGGCATTGTGGGCTGGGCTGGCTATAGGTGCACAGGCTGCTGCCGGCTGGGCGGGGCTGGCCAAGTATGTGCAGTGCCCATCTAGGTCGCCCACCTGGAGGAGGTGTAGCGAGGCTCTAACAGGTGGACACTCTGGCTGCAGCCCTACAGTTGGCCTTGAGCTGGACACTGGGCAAACCTGGAGGCACAGATCTGGGTTGATTCGGTCTCTACATGTCTCGACTCATCAGTTGTGGATTTCAATGACCAGCCAAGGCTGGGCTTCCGGTCTGGCCGTCCTGGCCCAGTCCTGCTGGGCTTCCCAACCTAGAGCCCGCTGCAGGCTGGTGGGGCTTGGCGGGGGCTGCCCTTGGCTGACTGATGCTTCCTGTCACAGGCCTTGTCCCCGGTAAGCCTCTGGCACCTGCTGGCTCCTCTCCGCCCCAGAGATCGGGGCCCCTTGCCTGCACTGGGACGGCTATGCCCTCCATCAGGCCTGGTGGAAAGACGGAGATAGCGACCAGCCCAGGGCAGACAGGGCAGGTTGGGAGCCCGGGCCGGGAGGAGTTCTCAGCAGAACTGGCTCCAGCCTTCTCTCTCCTGAGCAGGCTCTCATTTTTCATATCGGACAGGCTGAGAGTTTTCCAAACTGCAAGCTCTCTTTCCCTTTTGACGAGCAGCTCCAGCTGAAATCCCTTCTCTTCCCGCGCTACACCAGAAGCACTCGAGCGGGACCGGGCCACACCTTCCGCTGCAGGCAAGCAGTTCCAGCCGGCTGGTCCCCGGGACCTGAACACAGTGCAGCCCGGGTCCCGGCCACTTAATGACAGGAATCGCCTCTCCGTGATTTCCAGTCCCCTCTTCCGTCTGAGCCCTTTCCCACCGGCCCCTCTGCCAGCGCTCTGTCCGCAGCCACTGAGGCGCCCTCGAAGCGGATCCAGGCTTCCTCCAGGCTCTCTCACAAGCGTGCAGGGCTGGGATGTGTGTTTGTGGTTTTGGTGAAGGCACTGGCTGGTGAGGCCAGGGAGGCTGCCAGAGCCACAGCAGAAAGCCCCATGGCTGAGGGGGCGGTGCTTGTCTGAGGACCCGGCACCCACCACTCTCCCCGCGCTGCGTGCCGGCCCTGCAGGCCCCCCCGGGAAGCGTGGCCAAGGACAGGAGCCCCTGCGTGGACAAAGCAGGTCCTCGGCCACCTGCCCATTGCACAGTGAGAGACTCCGTCCCCGGCGCCTCCTGTCTTTGCTCCGACTTCGGCCCTGCCTCGATGCTGCCCTTCCCTGGGCCCTCAGCCCCCACCTGTGTAGGTTTTTGCCATTCGCGTCTTTCCCAGCGAGGGCCACCTCCACCCTGACTCTCCACACCGCACCTGGGTTTCCGAGTGCCCGTGAGTGCTGCTCCCAGCCCGCCTGCCTTCCGGGGAGAACAGACAGTGGCCTTGGAGCCAGCGTGGGCTTCAAATGGGGGGGGGGGCGATTTTGTCCCTTTCGCACTGCCTGAACAGTGAGAACTGTGTTCTTTGCCCGGGCTGCCCTGGGGCAGATTGGTCGGGGTGAACTACTTCCGGCCACGGGGTCTCATTGTTCAGAACCCTTCTTATACTTCCAGATCCTTCTCTGCCTGTTTCCATTTTCACCCTGCACAGCCCCGTCCTCCCCAGATGTCCTCCTGCCCCACCCAGCACAGCTGCTCAGGATCCACCGAGGAACGGAGTGAGAGCCCTCACCGTGTGCAGAGCAGGGCGGCCTGGTTCCGACATGCACCAGTGGCCACGGCTGTAACCGAGGGTAGGAAGAGGAAGCACGGGCCGTGTCTGGATTCTCATTCATGCTTCCTTCGCCTGTGCCCCAGTACCAGTGCGGGCGGAGGATTTGGTTTCCAAGTCCCAGGCTTCTAAGGCTAACCATCTATTTTGGCTAACAGAGTGGAGACGGCACTTTTTTTTCAAAAAAATTATTTATTTATTTGAGAGATAGAGCCACAGACAGAGAGAGGTCTTCCAGCTGTTGGTTCACTTGCTAAATGGCCATAATGGCTGGAACTGTGCCTATCCGAAGCCAGGAGCCAGGAGCTTCCTCCGGGTCTCCCACACAGGTACAGGGGCCCAAGGACTTGGGCCATCTTCCACTGCTTTCCCAGGCCATAGCAGAGTGGGGTTGGAAGAGGAGCAGCCAGGACTCAAACCAGTGCCCGGAAGGGATGCCGGCACCGCAGGCAGAGGCTTAGCCCCCTATGCCACAGCACTAGCCCTGACACTTTTTAAAAAATCAATGTTACCCCTTCTTTCCCGCTTTCTGCTTTTGGGTGGGGTCCCCTGAGGACCGCTGTAGGGAAGCAGCCAGGTTGCCACCACAGTGACATTTGCCTTCTGGGTCCGCTGGTGCTGCAGTCTTGGGAAGCTTGCTTGGACCTTGCCTCTGTTTGACTGGAAGCGAGAATTCGGGACGTCTCAGCCTGGGGCCCTGGCTCCTTGCCGGCTTCGATTCAGCCGATTCTGGGTTTTAAGCCTTGTTGTCATGATCGCATGTCCTTGTACCAGGTTGGTGATGGGATGCAGAAAGCAGCCACCCAAATCGGGTTAAGCCGTAAAGAGGTGCGCTGGATCCCTGCCCAGAAAATCCAGACGTGGTCGAGAAGGCCTCAGGCTCGGCTTGACCTAGGTGTGTGCGTCCCCCTGTCCTGCCCGAGCTGTCTCACCTGACAGCCGACCGTCATGACGGTTACAAGATGGAAGCCAGGGAAACCTGCTTCCTCATCCATACCCAGGGGACACCAAGAGCCTCGCTTCTCTTTGCCAGGAGCCCTTGGGTCCTGTGTACCCCCTGTCACCGAGTGGCTTGACGCCGTGGGCCACTGGCCTTTCTCCAGACCCCGCCGGAGACGAGACTGATGGTTGTGCCGAGGGAGGGGGGGTGCGATGGCTTAGGCTGGTCGGGACCATTGTGAAGGTGGGGGTGACACGAGCTCACCCACCCCACAGTCCCCACCCACCGGTGGGGCAAGGAGGGGGCGTGAAGGCTGGAGAGGCAGTGAGACACACACACACACACACACAGAGATCCCTCCCATCTACTGGTTCACTCCCTAAACGCCTTCAACAGCCCAGGCCAGACCAAGCTGAAACCAGGAAGCTGGAACTGAGTCCAGGTCTCCCCCCGGGTGTCAGGGCCCAAGTACCTGAGCCGTCACCTGCTGCCTGCCAGAGTGCGCATCAGCAGGAAGCCTGCACTGGGAGCAGAGCTGAGACTCAAACCCAGCCCCAGCAGGGTCCATCCACTGAGCCACGTGCCTGCCCCACAGCGTGCTTCCTCTGTCAGTCAGAGTAACCACCTGCTACAGACCGAGCGATCTGCTTATAGACAGAGTGATCTGCTACAGACCGAGTGATCTGCTACAGACCCAGTGATCTGCTACAGACCCAGTGACCCACTACAGACCAAGGGATCTGCTATAGACCCAGGGATCTACTACAGACCCAGGGATCTGCTACAGACCCAGTGATCTACTACAGACCCAGTGACCTGCTACAGACCCAGGGATCTACTACAGACCCAGGGATCTGCTACAGACCCAGGGATCTACTACAGACCCAGTGACCCACTACAGACCCAGTGACCTGCTACAGACCCAGTGATCTGCTACAGACCCAGTGATCTGCTATAGACCCAGTGACCAGCTACATACCCAGTGATCTACTACAGACCCAGTGACCTGCTACAGACCCAGGGATCTACTACAGACCCAGTGATCTACTACAGACCGAGTGATCGACTACAGACCCAGGAATCTGCTACAGACCCAGTGACCTGCTACAGACCCAGGGATCTACTACAGACCCAGTGACCTACTACAGACCCAGTGACGTGCTACAGACCCAGTGATCTACTACAGACCCAGTGACCTACTACAGACCCAGTGACCTGCTACAGACCCAGTGATCTACTACAGACCCAGTGACCTGCTACAGACCCAGGGATCTACTACAGACCCAGGGATCTGCTACAGACCCAGGGATCTGCTACAGACCCAGGGATCTACTACAGACCCAGTGACCTGCTACAGACCCAGTGACCTGCTACAGACCCAGTGATCTGCTACAGACCCAGTGACCAGCTACATACCCAGTGATCTACTACAGACCCAGTGACCTGCTACAGACCCAGGGATCTACTACAGACCCAGTGATCTACTACAGACCCAGTGACCTACTACAGACCCAGGAATCTGCTACAGACCCAGTGACCTGCTACAGACCCAGGGATCTACTACAGACCCAGTGACCTACTACAGACCCAGTGACCTGCTACAGACCCAGGGATCTACTACAGACCCAGTGACCTACTACAGACCCAGTGACCTGCTACAGACCAAGTGATCTGCTTATAGACTGAGTGACCTGCTACAGACCCAGGGATCTACTACAGACCCAGTGATCTACTACAGACCCAGGGATCTACTACAGACCCAGTGACCTGCTACAGACCAAGTGATCTGCTTATAGACTGAGTGATCTGCTACAGACCGAGTGATCGACTACAGACCCAGAGACCTGCTACAGACCGAGTGATCGACTACAGATTGAGTGATCTGCTACAGATCCATCTTGCAGATGAGGCCACCGAGACCCCCAAGAGGCACGATGACTTGTCAGGGTCACCCAGCCGGCACACAGCAGATTTTCCTGACTGCGGTCCGGCCTGCCTGGCTAGCGGGTGCCTCCTGCTCTCAGGAAGGGGCCTCTTCCTGCCAAGCTTGTGTGCTGCACCGCCCCCATCCCCTGGACGTCAGGAGCCCCCCATCACTGGAGGCAACCAAGCTGAGGCAGGGGCTGCCTGGAGAGATGTCTCCTTGGGTTGAAAGTTGGCTAAGTAGCTAAGTGGAGATGGAGAGGGCTCTCTGCACGCCCCGGAGTCGGCGAACAAGGGCGGCCGTGACCACGGCGGGAAGGAAGCGTAGTTCCCTGTGGGCTCTGTGGCGCAGCCCATGTGAGGCCGGGGATGCACGAACCCTGCACATCTGCTGATGTGGGGGGAGCCCCGGAGGCCTGCCCCGTCGTGGTCACTCTCCTGCACGGCCACATTCCACAGATGACAGTAAGTACCGCGTCCTGCCTGGCCTCCGCTTTCTCCCAAACATCCTCAGATGGCCTTTACTCCCACCTCCTTCTTCCTCTCCACTCCACCCACCCCCTGCTCCGCCCAGGTTCAGTTCCAGCCCACACCGTTTCCGCCTTCAGCCTCGAGCAGATGTGGAACTGGGGCACCGAGAACCAAGCATCTCTCAAAGGCTGCCGGGGTGGGCCCTGTGTGTGCCAGCGTGGGGAGCTGAGCCCCGGCATGCAGCCCTCTGTTGAATGACGGGGTTGGCACAGAGGGCTCCTAGGTGCCGGTTCGGTTCCCTGTGCCCTGTGCTGAGCAGGGTGCTGGATTTCTTATGTGGCAGCTGATGTGCGGGAGAAATGCCAGACTTGGACACACACCACCAGATGTGTTTCTTTTAAATATTTATTTATTTATTTGAAAGGCACAGTTACAGAGAGAGAGGGAGAGACAGAGATCTTCTATCTGCTAGTTCACTCCCCAAATGGCCACAATGGCCGGGGCTGGACCAGGCTGAAGCCTGGAGCCTGGAGCTTCCTCTGGGTCTCCCAGGTAGGTGCAGGGCTCAAGCACTTGGGCCAACTTCTGCTGCCTTCCCAGGTGCATTAGCAGGGAGCTGGATCAGAAGTGGAGCAGCCAGGACTTGAACTGGCATCTATATGGGATGCCAGTGCCGCAGGCAGCAGCTTTACCCACTATGCCACAGCGCCAGTTCCAATTTGTCTTACAGTCATTAGTTCCTTACTTTGTTTTTAAAAATAATAACCCAAGTGCCCACCAATGGAAGAATGCATAAGTAAAAGTGGCATATGTGGATGACAGAATACCATTCAGCTGTCATTTACAGCAGCGTGGATAAGGCTGGGGACAAACACCACCTGATCTCGTCTGTGGCACCTGAACGAGGCAAACTCCTGGGCCCGGGCAGCGGAGCGGGTAGCGGTCAGGGGCTGCGAGCTCTGCCGGACCAGAGGGGTGCATCCTGGTGGTTTATTGCCCAGCGTGCTGACTGCAGCTAGTAAGGGCCAGTTTCAAACAGCTAAGCGATTACATTTTCAGTGTTCCCGGTGGAGGGAGGGGCGTGTTAATCCACTTGATTTGATCCTGCACAATGTATACAGGTGTTGAAACATCACGTCCTACCTCAGGAACATTGACACAAGTTTATGTCAGTTAGAAACAAAACAAAAAATGATAAACTGTGTATTTAGAGCACTTTGGTTTGCAGTAACGTTGACCATAAAGCACACAGGGCTTGAAAAATTCCCTGCCTTCTCCAACTCCCCCCACCCCCACAGCTTCCCCCAGCGTCAGCACCCCCCATCCGAATGGGGCATTTTCCACCGAACGAAGCTACAGTGACACCTTAGGGGTCACTCCTGCTGTTGTACATTTTACGGGTTTTGACAAATGTGTGATGACACCTACTGGGGCACTTCAAAAGCTTCGTGGAAAGTGGAGTTGAAGGATGTTGATTTGGGGGCTGGCACTGTGGCACAGTGAGTTAAGCCGCTGCCTGCGGTGCCGGGATCCCATATGGGCGCTGGTTCAAGTCCCGGCTGCTCTGCTTTCAGTCCAGCTCCTTGCTAATGCTCCTGGGAAAGCAGCAGACGATGGCCCAAGTGTTTGGGTCCCTGCCACTCAGGTGGGAGACCCAGAAGAAGCTCCTGGCTCCAGCCTGGCTCAGCTCTGGCCATTGAGGCCATTTGGGAAGTAAACCAGAGAATGGAAGATTCTCTTTCTCTCTCTCTCTCTCTCTAATTCTGACTTACAAATAAATAAGTAAACGAATCTTTAAATAAGATGTTAACTCAGATGCAAAAAAATTCTGAAGTTATTATAAGGGTGTTTGAAGCATTTGTGGAAAGACATACATATTATGAGAGAAGCTGTAAGCAGATTTCAAAGTTTTTCACACCAGAACACACTTAAGTTTTAATTCCATTTCCCACGGATACTCCCCCACCCCCCCACTGTTAGGGCGCCGTGAACGGAAGTTCCACCCCCCAGCAAGCCCCCTCCCTACCTGCTCCCTGCCCGGGCTCTCTTCCCACGCCCCCTGGGTTTGCTTTTTCTAGAATGTCTTAGCTGGGCTCATACAGAATGTGCTTTTCCGATTGGCGCTTTGACTTCATCAAATGCATTACGCTTCCTCCGTCTCTTTTCACGCCTTGATAGCAAATTTCTTTTTAGCACTGAGTGATGCCCGCTGTCTGATGCATCCGCTTCTCCGTTCACCCACTGAAGGGCACCTCGGTGGCTTCCGAGTTTTGACAATTATGAATCAAACTGATGTAAGCCTCCGTGTTCAGGGTTTTGTGCGGAAACAGACACTTCACTCATTTAAGTAAGTTCTAAGGAGCGCGATTGATGGATCCTATGGTAAAAGTAGATTTAGTTCTGTACGAAACCAACGTGGCTCCCCCCCACCCCGGCTTTGCCTCTCCACCAGCAGAGAGTGAGGGCTCCTGTGGCCCCACGGCCTCCCCAGCATCTGATGGTGTCGCCGTTCTGGGGCAGGTGTGCGTCTTATTGCTTTAATTCCCAGTTCTCCAGGGAGGAATAACATTGGATATCTTTTCATATGCTTACCTGCCATTTTTGTATCTTCTTTTTTTTTTTTTTTTTTTTTTTTTTTTTTTTTTTTTGACAAGCAGAATTAGACAGTGAGAGAGACAGAGAGAAAGGTCTTCCTTCAGTTGGTTCAGCCCCCAAATGGCCGCTATGGCCGGCGCTGCGGTGATCTGAAGCCAGGAGCCAGGTGCTTCCTCCTGGTCTCCCATGGGGTGCAGGGCCCAAGCACTTGGGCCGTCCTCCACTGCACTCCCGGGCCACGGCAGAGAGCTGGCCTGGAAGAGGAGCAACCGGGACAGAATCCGGCGCCCTGACCGGGACTAGAACCTGGGATGCCAGCACCGCAGGCAGAGGATTAGCCTAGTGAGCCATGGCGCCTTTGGTGAGGGTTCTTCCCAAGTATTCGGCCCGATTTTTAACCCTGTGGTTTGTTTTCTGACTCTTCAGAGTTAAGAGTTCTTACATTTTGGATGCACTGTTTTAATCAGATGTTTCTTTTGCAAATGTTTTGTTGTGATCCGTGATCTGTCTTTCTTGGGGCAGAAGTCTCAGCCCGAGGGGAGGCCGGATGGTGCATTTTTTCCTTCTAAGGATGGCGCTTTTTGTGTCATATCTAAGAAGTCACCACAGGGAAGTCTGCCTGGATTTCCTCTTCTGTTATCTTCTGGGAGTTTTACAGTCTTGCATTTGAGATTTGAGTCCACGACCCATTTTGAATGACCTTTCACGAAGCGGATACACTTGTGTCCAGATTCACATTTTTGCACATGAATGTCCAATTGTTCACCGTCTGTTGAAAAGACTCTTTGCTTCCTGGAGGCTGCCTATCTTTGATCAGAGGTCGCCTGACTGCTTCTGAGCCGTGTACTCTGCCCCATGGAGCCATTTGCTTGTTCTGCCCAAACCGCGGGCTCGACCACTACAGTTTTGTAGCAAGTCCTGCAGTGAGAGCATCTCTGACCAGCCAGATCTCTCCTCCATAGCCTTCCCGCCGCGTGTGCGCTGAACCAGCTCCCTCAGTTCAGAAGAGAACACTAAGAAGAAAAAGAAAAAAACTTTAGTCTTTTTAATCCCAGTAAAGATCAGCATGAGTTCTCCTTGGAAATTTCTGAACAATTTTGTTAAGGTGTCATCAACATGCAACAAACTATGTATTTTTTTTAAAGATTTATTTATTTATTTGAAAGGCAGAACTACAGAGAGGCAGAGGCAGAGAGGAGGAGGAGGAGGAGGAGGAGGAGGAGGAGAGAGAGAGAGAGAGAGAGAGGTCTTCCATCTGCTGGTTCACTCCCTAGATGACCGCAACGGTCAGAGCTGCACTGATCAAAAGCCAGGAGCTTCTTCCTGGTCTCCCACGCGGGTGCAGGGGCCCAAGGACTTGGACATCTTCCACTGCTTTCCCCAGCCATAGCAGAGAGCAGGATTGGAAGTGGGGCAGCTGGGACTTGAACCCATATGGGATGCTGGCGCTGCAGGCTGGGGCTTTATCCCGCTGCACCACAGCGCCGGCACAAAACTCTGTCTATTTAAAGTGGACAGTTTCACTTATCGACGTAGATAAAGCTGCAGACCCACGGGCACAGCTGTGGTCAGGGAAAGCAATCCATCCCCCACCCCCAAGTGATCCTTCCTCTCTGGCCGCCTTCTCCCATCACCGGCAACACGGATGTGTCTTCGCTCACTGCGCGGCAGCCCCTTCTCCCACCACAGGAAGC